TAAGGATAGTGCTCTGTAATTAAGGTCTAATGTAAGGTTCCAGTCATTTACTGACACAAATCAGTCTCTTAAGTAGTGGGGGGGGGGAAGGAAGGGGAAGTTCCTGAGCTTGTGTGTGTGTGTGGTTGTTGCTGCTTTGTTTGAACTGTAATACATTATATATAAAAAGATCTCCCCAATAAATAAAATGCTCATTTATATATAATAAAAGTAAAGTCTAGTGCGTACAATATATTAATAAACCTTTCTAAAGTGTACTATTTAATGTATGTTTCTTGTCATTACTAACTGACAGGAAAGTAGAAAGGAGCAATTTTCCTGGGCTGAGGGAGATTTGGGACCCAGATGTAGTCCTAGAACTGGCGAACTTAATTTTGGCCTCAATAACTACTGACTGTGGAAATTTGTCAGTTTGTTCAAACCTTAGGTAGAATGTACATAGTGCAGCTATACCCACAAGGGACTGTGTATGGTGGGCACATGCCCACTAGCTGCCCTTAGTGCCTTCCTGTTATCTTGGCAAGTTGGAGTCCAAGACATTTGTGTGGGTTTCTCCCCCTCTCTCAATGCCTTGGATGTGGGGAAACAATGTAGGTAAGCATTAAAAGAGTGCTAGTGAGAACCCAGTCCGCGTGTGCGTGCAGGATTTCTTGTTCACCTGAAGAAGAAGGTAAATAAATAGTATTTGTGTTCTTATTTAGATGTGGTTTATAGATCAGTACTGAGTAAACTGATGTAGAGCACTGTCTAAAATGTCTTAATCTCTGCATAAGTGCAGTTGTCACTGTTCCAAGTTGAGATGAGTAGTTTTCTTCGATGGGTGAAGAGAAAGGGGAGGGGTGAGACTCTAAAGTTAGGAAGATGTTCTTTTTTTAAGGAGCTTTCTTGAATTTACCTTCTTAGAGCTAATTTGAATGATTAGTTTTGATAAGCCTCTTAAAGTAGATGCATTTAAATGAAATCAGGGCACGTGCCTTTTTGGCTCTGGTGGAAGATTCAAACTATCCACCCTCCCTGACCACAATTAGCTCTCTCCATTCCCCCCTCCCCACCCTGCACTTCCTTGCCTGTTAAAAGTCTTCAGGATGTAAGGCTGGATGGATCTGTGGTTCATTGGGCAGGCCATAACCATTTAATGCCCAGCAACACATCTGTCTCTCTGTCTCAATTAATAAACCACAGAACCTTACTTGCTATTAATATTGGTAATAGTAATTGTGCTTTTGCCTTGTGGCATATGATGCAGAGACAAAATGAAAGTAGAGGATTATTATTCAAGTTTGCATTTTGTGGAGGGGGGGGTTGGCTAAAAGCTGATACAACATTTGAGGAATACACAGACATCTGCCTTACTGTCACTTGGTATGCTTTGATGCTGGATAGTGCATACTGAAGAATTCAAAAACTTAAAAGCCGTTTGCAATTCTTACTCCTCCCTTTTCACCAGAAAAATTAATGCTAATAATTTCAAAGAGCAGTTAATAACAGAACAGATGCAATAAATATATTGGCTAATGTACGCATATGTGTTGCTTTAATCGTTCTAAATGAAACAGTGTGCTCATAATACGGAATCTCCTCCAACCTCTGATTAAAATGTAACATTGACTAAAGGATTATACAGCAGACTTAATTTTACTGACTGTTTTAACAGTTGTCACAGCTGTTGGGAGAAGGAAAGGCAATTGAAACACTCCAGAAAAGAGGAGGGGGCACTCTTCTAGAAAATTTAAACATGATATCTGAATGCCAGGCATAGAAAACCAAATAGATTTGTGACTTCAGATATCTTCTCTGTACTGTGTACATTTGCCTTTGTAGTTCTGATCCTTTCATGAATTTGAACCCTCGACCTCTTCCACACTGCCTCTATTAAAACACAATATTGAAATGAGGGAAAGCTAGTATGTCACAATACCCATGATACAAAACAAAACAGCAACCTGGGAGACACATGAGATAAATTTAGAGATTCCCAGGAACTGAAACTTAGGACGGATAGTAGAAATTTCAACAATGAGCACTGATATCAAAACTGGGAGACAAAAGATGCTTGAGAGCTTTGAAAGATTTGTACACAGATTCAACAACATTTACTCTTGACCACACTGCAATGCTTGTGAGCTGCTTTAGTCATTTCATTCCCCATTTCCATATTAATATCATTCTTTAAATAGTCAGATAGTGTAATTAATTTTTTACTTCCCCCTCTGTTATTAAATAGTTGTTCTTTCCAGTAGAATTTGATCTGGAATTACGTGCAGGCATGTGCTGTGGGGGAGTAGAGCTTATTGAGTGGAGAGGAAGTTAAGTCTCTAGAAGGTTGGGATAAGAGCTCCCATTATTATAGAACTGATAGATGTCTTACGTATACATATATGAATATTCCTGTGTTGTGCATAATGTGTATGCTAATGTAAAATGCAGTTGATAGGTATATAAAAAAAGAAAGACCGTTGTCCCCAAAGCAAATGAGGCAAGGTGTAACTATGCCTGCTGACTAAACATAAATTGAAGGATTTATTTTCGTAATCAGTCCTTACATATTCACCCCAGTAAGCCTTGATATACAGTCTGCCCCCTCCTGTTACTATATTTTCCAACTTTGGATTTATGCTGCTCATGTGTCTTTTCTCTAAGTTTTCACAGCTGACAGAGTGCAAAGTGTCGATGCTGAAATGGCATTCTGACAGTTTTTTATTAGCTGGGCCTGACCCTCCTTTTTTAGTGCTGGTTGCTCATTTTAATGTGTTTATGGTTCTGTTCTTTTATTTACTGAGCCTGGTGTGTTGCAACAGTAATTAACCTGTGTTATTAGTAAAGCCCTTGTGAATATCCATTAATTCTATTGAATGGATGATCATTTTCCCACACAATTCTCTTCTCCCTCCATGCGTTATCCATTTTAAAATCGGTCTTTATCTTATGACATTTTAAAAAGTATTTTTCTTTTTTTTAAAGTCATATGATAAATCAGGAAAAAAATAACAAAATTACAGTTGCTAACACTATTGATGGGTTGTTTTTTAAAATATTGAGTAATAAAAAGGGAGACAGGTCTGAAAAAATTATTTTTGATAAAAATATAATAAGAAATAAACCTATTGTTCCTTCTTAAATATCATTTTGGGGGCAATTGTAGATCAGGTGGCTAACTATCAAATTCATCTGATTTGAAATTGTGTTGAATATTATGTTGGGCATTTAAAGAAAGGAGAAACAAATTAAGACTACAGGGAAAAATACTACTTCTGGACTTCTGAAGTGTCTTCTTTGCCAACCCCACTGCAATTAATTTTTAAAATTGCATGACAGTATACATCAAGCAAAAGAGATATCTTGACTGTGAAAGTTTTGTAACAATTCTTGAACCCCTTTCCTCTTTTCAAACCTGATATACCTAATATAGTATATAGTACCTTAGACTGTAATAATACGATGCTAGGCTCTAATTTACCCTGCATTGTTTTTATTAAGAGTATGATTAAACAGCCTGGCAAACTTCCTGGTATTGAACATTTCTGATGAACAGTAACCTTTGGCTTTGGTCTCACTGTGTAAAAACAAAATAGAAATGAACAATATTTACATTATTTATTGATACTTTTTAAACCAGCCCCTTTATGTATATTCTTGTGGGGCTGTTACCAGTCATTACAAATGTTGGAGGTAACAAATCTAGGGTGAATTGGGTCCCTGTTCAAATTTAAAGAAACAATTTTATTATGCATGCTATGGATTCTGCTTCATAGCACATTCATTGGGGGACAGAAACAATAAATGATGATCTGTACCAAGAGCCTTTCCAGCCCAAGCAGCTCTCAGGAGGAACTCTGTGATTATCCTGGGATGGCTTGGTTTTTATCTCTTTTACATCCACTGGCCTTGTATTAAATTGTCATTGTCCTAAAGCACATGAGAGAGAAATGAATTGCACTCCTCGACATGCTCTGACAGTGAAATATTTAGCTTCTCTGTCTCCAATCATACTCATGTGTATATGTTTGATAGTGCTGGAATGACAACCAGCAGCTTCCTGTAGACTGGAATCCCATTTTAAATGTTTTGAGATGGGTTTTCCCCTTCTCTCTCTCCCCCCATAGCATACAATTTTACCTGACTGAGGCATATCAGCTTTTACTTCCATTGATATTAAAGCAATCCAATGTTTTAATCTTAGCTGATACTTGTTGTATAGCATATGGGTACATGCTCTGTATGTGAAGCCCTGGATTATATATTTTACAGTTATATTTTTGTGCATTAGTAGACACTGTACTAAAAAATTTCCGAACTTCTCCATTCATCAGTTAGAACAACTAGGTTTTTAAATTTTAAAATATTCTGAAAGGATAATGGAAGGCGTAACTTTTTTGACATATGATCAATTTCATATTAGAAGTATTAAGCTCGAAAGGGAAAATTAAAAATGTGTTAATGTAAACATATTGTTGTTCTATATATAGGATACAAACACCTTCCTATTTCCTTTGATCTACAGTACTAAATATTTTATGCTGAGTTCAGATGCATAGAGAGAATGTTAACGAAAATCTTTTCTCCAATTTTGCTCCAATTAGTTCAAATTGTGTAATGTAATTCAGGTGATAATTATTTAATCTCTTTATAATTATTTCACCTTATGAAATAATTTGTTCCATTTTTACATAATAAGGAATGCTTCAAGTCTAAATCCTCCTAAAAGGTTGCAATTCCCCATTTCCAAAATGTATGTAATTAAGCTCCATCAACGGGATATGCTAGTGAACAACAGGACTTAAGATGGCAACATAGCCTTATTTGCTCACATAGCATATAGAACCCAATTCAGTTATTGTGTATTCTTTGCTTTCCATTTTAAAAGACTTCTCATTTATAGGCAGAATAGGCTAGTGCTAGATTTAGGTTCCTCTGTCTAAATTAATGTTTTTTTAAATTGTTTGCCCGGTTTAGTGGAATAAAAGTTTTGTCTTTAATTTGTGTTTTCTTTTTCTAGACTCTTGTCCCTAAGACTTAGTTCTAACATTAAAATGATAAAGGGTTTGTGTGCACATGCATGTTTAGAATTTTCTCCTATATGTTAATATTTTGGGTCATAAGATATTTTGCTAGCCCCCCCTCCTTCTACCTTTCCTTTTTGTCAAGAGCTGTATTGAAAGCCATGCCTTGAAAAAAGGGGGAAGTAATGATTCTGCTAAATGAATAGCATGTACACTTCTTATCAAGATGTGCTCTTCAGTCGAAGCAGTACATACATGCACACGGCATACATGCACACACTTACTGGAAAGGTGGTCATTGTTCTGCAGTGGTTTAGAATTTTAGTTGCTACAAACACGTTTTCTCCCCCCAATTTTCTCCCCCCAATCTCAATCAATACATTTATTATTATATTATAGAACTGCATATCTTTCTATAGGCATTTGAAAATCTGATGTCAGTGTATTTAAACATCAGACTAGTCTTAGAATTTTTTTCCATTAAAAATGATAAAAGGGATCTTTTCCTTATTTTTAATCTGGAGTCTATAATATGACTAACTGGAAATGATGCTCCATCTATTCATAAATATGCATACTTGGACTCAGATCCTATAAATGTGACTCCAGATAACTTCATGTATAAAAGCTCTTGCGACTGTATAGGAGAATAGAGCTATTTTTTAATTTATCCCTCTGTCCGGAGTCTACGCGGCATCAACCTTTAGAGGTAGAATTTGGAGGGGAGGGGCAGAAATAGTATACAAGAATCTGCAACATTCCACACAAGTGGAATTTCCTTCTGTAGTGGAATCTTCGGATCCACACCACTGAAACAAATGGAAGTTTCCACGTGAATCACAGTGGGGGATATTGGTAAACCAAAATCTATGCAGACCTTTCTCAGCATTATTCGTCTGGAGGCTGCTGTCTCACTTATTCCTCTGTGTCTTTTCATGTTGTTTTGAGTGAGACAAAAGTGCACATCTTTTTCAGCACTTTGATTGGAACTACATACCATATGTAATGTGTTTTGGCAGCACTTACCTAGCCAAAGAAAACAAATTAATATTAGCCATGCTGAGGGGCATCAGAAGTATCGCAGATGTGTCGATTTAGCTTTGCTCCATCACACGCCCTTTCCTTAAACAACTGGCCAAGCTGTCGCAAGATGTTGCACGGGCTACAAAGAGATTTTAATAGGTGTGATCAGAGATTGATGGCTGTGACTAGTTAGAATGAGAATATGTTGCCAATATGTGGATGCTTGTTTTCAGCCCCCATAAGAAAAAGGTCATCCAGAAATAAGACAATCCCAATTCAAACTTTATCTCCTTAAAAGCAAACAAATGTGCAATCTGTAACAAATATAGGGGTGACAAGTCACATGAAATGAAATTGACTGGACCCTGAGCAATACTTAAATGCCTTCTCATAGATGAAAGCTTATAAAGACGTAATATGGCTGGAGAAAGAGGTGACAATATGGCTTATTTTGTAATGTTTGTTTATATTCCCTGAGATCCTGTTCCCTTTTCTCCTCGTACCTTGTTGATAGAAATAATATTGAAGAAAATACCTACTCACATCTAGTATCTACAGTGTTTTTAATCATTTTTGTACTGTACATAGAATGCTAAGTAAAATGTGAATATATTAATGTAGCATGATTTTTCAGTGCATTCACGCTGCTATGTAAAGTAATGTTCCATTTATGGATATGGTGTCACAGAACAAGGACTGACCTACGTATCTCTGTATGCAATTTCCTTTTTATCTTTGCTCCCAAGACATTTTTGCCTTTTGTATTTTCTTGGGATTTGCTGCAGGTTTTAGTTTGATTCTAAAGTTAAAGGTTCTTTTTTGTCTTAAATATTCCCCAGGTGATGTCAGATGAAAAGGGTATTATGGCTGAAATATACACCAGAGGAATTCATTTTGGCAAGCCTGGTCCATGTAGGTTAGTGAACCAACAAATAAATAATTTGCTATGTTTATTTCAAGTTAAGTAAAGGTAGGGGGGAAATAAAACAATATAAGGGAGATGACTTTTGAAAAAATGGAAAATCCGTAATTACAGTTGATTCTGAATGGTGGCAATATCAACATGCAGATAAATGTTATGACTGATGACAAACGCTATGCAGATTTCATGCAGCAGATATTGTCCAGCCTAGCTAGTTAATTAAATATTTTTTCTATTAAATATTTATTTTTGTCAGTGTTTTTCATAGCCTTCTACCTGGAAAGAATTAGCATATGCTGTGATATGCAGTGAAACACCATTTCTTTCAGATTGTATTTTTCTTGAAGCAGTGGCGTTGGGACATGAGACTTCTAGTATAGAGAGGAAACCTATTGGGCACTATATTGTAGTCACATTAGGAATTGGTTTTGTACAAGAGTAAGGTCATATTAACAAGAGCTGTACATCGCTTACCAGAAGTTTACATTAGCATGAGTGACACCTGTCCCATTAATCATGAGGACCTTGGTTTCTCAGAGAGAAAGGTAACAATCGGTTGCATTACAAAGCACAGCACACATGGCTTAATTCATCTCATTGTTCTCCTGCAAATCTATAGGAGAGTTCATTTTGCTCCTTGAACTCAAGCAGAAGAACAGGATGGGCTCAGGTGGTGGCATGTGCCTGCCTTTTTTTTTTTTCCTTTGGTCAGAGGTGCTCAGCAAAAGAAGTCAATGGGTGGGGGTTGAGGAGCATTCACAAACCCAAGCTTTTGCCATCTCTGGAGCTAGGATTGTATAATGTTTTGTCAAATGTATTGTTGAATGTGCAAGTGGTTATTTTCTGTGGTTACCAATCAACAAATGCAGAAAAAACAATTTGTAGAGGTTAATAAGCTAAGACCATAATAAAATGCAGTGCAGATAGACATCTGCATCTTTGATGTCAAAGAAAGACGGCATGCCTTTGAAATCAGAAAAGTGTTGGAATGTTAACAGTATGGGGAAGTAACATTAGAACTGTTAATTTCTAAGGTCCCTGTGACCCACTTTCCCCCATGCATGTTGGAGGTATGCTTTTGTAGAGGTTTCCTAGTTGTACTTTCAGGTTATACACTGCTGGTAGTTATGTGACTCTAATATTGAGCAGCAAACCTGTGGCATGTTGAAATACGTCAGCATTTCTTCGAAGATACAGCTTCTATTTGATTGTGTGTAAATACAGTTAGTTAGTTGGGTTTATCTGATAGCCTGGCAGAAAGAGAGAGAAGCAGGACAAACTGTTTTCAGTAACTGCGCTGTTCATACACCTGATAAGATTGAGAATGCTTTCAACTGCTGATATGCTTTGAATAAGAAAAGAATAATCACTTCCACTGGCACCAGCTTATCAGGAGTGGAGAAAAATGCCAACACTTTTACATTAGCAAAAGTAAATGTTTTAGACATGTCATGCCTTTTTTCCATTTAAATTGAATAGTAGGGTGCTTGTGGGTATGCAGTAATAAAGGGGAGGACTTATTACCTTGAATAAAGTGCAGGTGAATATATCGAGAAAGGAGCCCTTGGCAACAATAACAGCTCTTTTGATAAGTGGAATATATCTATTTCAAGCGTTCTTCAGAAAATTTCAGCATCTTTATCCTCTTCCATTCTATTAAATGTATGTCCTAATCTTAGTAGGGAGCATTCACTTCATAATCCAATATATCCAGCTTTGTGTGTGTGTGATAAGTGAGGCTCAGATTCAGTTGTTATCAGTATAAGTTAAAATTAAAGCTCCTGTAATTTTGCTGTTACCATTTTGTAACTTCTTAAAGAAAATTGTTCTTTCGTTTTGCCTATTTTATTGTACAAAAATTATAAGATTTAAATAGACACCATATTAAAACAAAAATAATATTGCGTGCGAAATTAAAAAGTTTTAATATGTATAAAGTGTTGCCATCCAAAATGCAGCACAGGTTGTTTAATAGTTTGAGTCACTATTTGTAAAGTTAATTGAAGACTTACCATTTAAGCTTCTGGTTTGGTGAATATTTTTGACAGCATTCTCATACTAGTGTTTAACATTGTTCCACTTCTCTTAAAGTATGCAGATAACTTGGGTGTATTCAGGTTGACAAATTGTAGTGCAAGCCACAATAGATTTATTTGGTATTTTTATTGATTACCCACAGCAAGATCACTGTTAACAATTTACATCAATAGCATTTGATTAATCAAGGCATCCCTGTTCTGTACCTTTTACTGAGACAGGGACTTTAGAAGCGCAGTGTTGACAAGCTGATAAACTGTTCTGATTTCACTAGTCTTTTTTGAATACATAAATATATATTCCATTGGTAAGTTTATTTTCACAATTCAAGAGTGCCATTTAAAGAAAAGGTCTTCAGTTTAAGGTTTATCAAATTTTAGTTAAAAACAACTTGGCTCCATTTGGGTGTAAAATAATTTAAGTACTAACTTGAGGCAAACTTCATGCTTTTATAGCTGTTGCTTAGAGGTTTCATTCTACTATGAAGATGTCAACTGTAAATATAAAAATGCATCACTGAAAATGTAATGGTTTAAAGATTCAAACTGAAATAAAATATCCTGCCTGGAGAAAACACGGCAATCGGAACAAAGTAGTTCTAACTCCTCCTAAAGGAGGCATATTTGAAAACACAGCTTGAAGGCAGTGAGAAGCAGCACTATATTTTTTTTTCAGCCTTGGGAATCATATAGCCATGGAATCAACAATATTCTATCAAATAAAACAGATGCCAAATTATTGATGAATTAATTCTGCTGACGGATAAATATGTAACGATAACTCTTTCCCCATGATGTTATATTATAAAGCATTGGTTCTGAAATGCTAAACTTTTGGCTTTTTAATTGATCCAGAGATTTTTTTTCCTGGATTCTGAATACAGTATTTTACAGAATTGAATATTGCAACTGATTGTGAATTCAGTTTGTGGTTGCATGTCTGCCTTTTAAGCACTAGTCATAAGAGAGATTTGTGTTTGTGTGTGTGTGTGTGTGTGTGCGGGGCAGAAGTATTTGGGCTTCTGGAAAATCTTTTGTTTTTGTTTTTTGAGCTATGTACAGGATGATGGAAAGTTCATTAATGTCATTTTAAAAGATTGGCTTCTTTCAGTTGGCTGCAGATAAGGGACAAAAGGTTATGAATTGGCATATGGTTCCGTGGTTCATCCTCTTGCTGCAGTGTGACTAGGAAAAAGCTGTGCATATTCTCTTCTGCCCTCTTTGCAGATTTAGAGTAGTGGAATTGTATCAGAGATGATGGATGGCATGCGGTCATCTCCCCCCTCCCCGATTATAGGATCGCTTCAATATGCAGTGCCCTTTGGGGACCCAGCAGTCAGTTGTGAAGTCAGTGGTCATGCAGCTCTGGAAAACAGGACCATGTGGAAGTAAGTGAGATGAAATTGGCAGATTTTGTTGCAAAAAAGGGAAAAGACTTAACAGGTGATAGGCTAGTTACTCTAAAAAGTAAACTGAAAAACTGAAAGTGATTGGCCTAGACATGGGCTCTTTAGGTTCATTAAGTCTAGAGCTAGCATTCCAAACAGTTACGAGACGTATTATGGACATTGAATTTTAGGAATTATGGAGCGCAGCTGATAGGTCTGGTTCCCCATTGTCCCCTTTAAAATAGGACAACCAGCTGCTTTCTCCATGCTGCTTAAATTCCACAAAACCACAGGGCTTTTTCTCTGGCCAGATGTAATGTCATGCCTGGTGCTGTGTTGTATGGTTGGTATAACGGAACCCCTTATCTCGAAATACGCTGTCCATGTGAGCAGGGTGCTTTGGAAACCCTTACTCCCACTTCCACTGTCCGCTTCATCAGGCAAAAAGTATGTCACCTCAATAGTAATAAAGCTGGAGGGAAAATCTGAGCTGGACAAGGTCCTTTTATGTTATCAGAGGAGGTGGTTGACGTTATGGAACAAGTAGCTGTTTTTCTTGGGTCAGTTGTTAGGAGGTGAAGCCCTGACCTTGAACGAAAGTATTTTTTTCACGCTCCCTGTGAATCCAGAAATCTTATT